CCTCCTTACTACCGCTTTCAGCGTTTACCAATCGAGACGGCAGTTGCTGCTGCTGTTGCCGCTGTTCAGTTTGCGTCGTTTTCGGTCGTATTGCTCCTGAAATTCGTTGAGCATCTTTCGTTCACGATACATCACTTGGCCAATTTCAACTTTCACCAAACATAGATGAGAAGCGGCGTCCCTTCACCCCCCGCTTATCTTTTCACCACAATATTTCTTCTAAAAGCGTGCGCGATTTTTTATGCGGTATATGGCAGACGTATACGCAAACAGAGAATCGCGGAGGAATTTTAACCTCCGCGAAGACGAGAACAGAAACGTACAAATACGGGACGAAAGAAAGAACGACGAGGTTTCTTACAGTGGACGGAGTAACCGAAGACATGCGGAAACAGCAAAGTTAGTCGGGGCAGTTCACACTTACCGTGATCGTCGAGGTAGCCAACGAAAAAGTCCGGATTGGCCGTTCCGTAAAATAAATCTCGTCGCAAAGCGTTCGTCCCAGCCTAAAACAGAGCATGTCCATTATAGAAAAATCTACACACGATCGTGTGCTTTCAAATACAAGCACGCGACACCACCCCACATCTCGATCGATAGAGATTTTCTGTCGACACGCGTAACCGCGCTTCGACCAAATTCAGTTAGGAGCAGCGCCGTTCCCCATCAAGTTCGAACGATCGACAAAGCACGTAACCGATAATAGCTACTACCCGAGTATGTATCTGCCTCTCGAGTTTTTACTCAAAAAGAAATTGCCTCGTTCTTCGCTCTTAATCCGAATGGACGGACAGAACGAAATTGTATCTTGTCCACGGCCACGTAAACTCCTTGCAATTTTCTTTTTCGGAAATGCGCGTACCGATTCCGTCGATTTACCGACCACAAACGCAGTCGGTGTATGAAACCTCGACTAGTGTGCATGGAAAAAGTTTTCCGATTTCAGGTTGAATTTGTTCGCGCATAACTTTAACAACCGAGGGTTCCGAGGCTAATGACGTTTAGCGATCGAACGAAACGAAATAGTGAATGATTCGAATGTCTATGAAAAGAGTTACCTGAACTGTGGGCAGTGCCGTTACCCAAAAGACAGCCGCGATCGAGAGAAGCAGGATGGAGAGTGCGGAAGCGGCTTTACTCGCCATGTCGTCGCGCGAATTATAGGATCGGTTGGTGAGTGGTGGATTGAATGATTTGTTTCAGTGAGAACGAAAATCGAGCCGGTTGTTCGTGCACCGAAAATCGCGTCCCGTGTACCGGTTCACCTCGTGCTCCCTCCAATTATATAGAGGGTCGACCGCTTGGTCGAGGGGTAAGAAGTGGGCTGAGGACGCACGCGCCACCAAAATCCATTAGGCGTCGCGTCGCGTCGCGTCGCGTCGCGTCGCGTCGCCTCGCAACGCCGATTCATCGCACTTCCTCCTCCTCGATAATTTGCACGTCCCTCCATCCAGACCCGTTCATTACGATGCTTTATCAACGATCTCCAAAGAGTTTTTCGTTATGATATATCGAAGTCGCGAGCGAACGCGACGAACCTGAGACGGTGGACGACCGTTTTAGAAGACACCTGTGCCCCGTTACCCTTGCAGACTCTCACGGGATCTCTAACGACTAAAGAACAGCTACACGACCCTCTTTCTCTCCCTCACTTTATTCCGTCTGGCGTCCTCGGCTCTCGCTTCGAAACTACAAACAAGAATTGCAACCTTTCTTCTTCTCTCTAGCCGACATAGGGTCGCGCAAGCGAGGAAAAGGCACAGAGGGAGAGAGAGCAGCCAGGGAAAATGCCGTTGTTGCGATCGATCTTGCTCGTATCTGGTGCAGAAAATAATTCCTGTGAAACGGCACGACAGGTGCGTGTACACGAGTCACCGCGGACACGATGCGTACCCACTGCATTCAATTATCGACGTCTCGTTAACACGCTTTACGAGCTATAGGATGCGGCAGACGGGAACGCGACGAGAAACGGCGCGAGAGGCGCCGTTTTCGGCTCGAGGGAAACCGTAAACCAGTCTTTTCGCTGCATCCAGCCCACCAATATGCCCACGCAAGTGTTTTTCGCATGTTCATTCGCGCTCCGTAAAAACCCTTCGCGAACGAAAAAAAGAAGAAAAGAGACGAGGTGATGCGACAGGTGTCACGGAAATCAAAGGATCGTTCGTCAGACGCGTGTCCACCTTTCAGAGAGATATCGCGTTACGTTAATGGATTCTTTGTCTCCCGAGGAGAACGTGAACACATTTCTCCATGGTGGTTTCTCATATAAGACCAGCCGAGGCACAGCCAGGATTGTCCAGTCAACGACGATCCCGTCGCACGAAACACAGAAATATGAAGATCTTGATCGTTTGCGTAAGTGAATTCACGTAAGGGAAACCACGTCGTCCTTTATAATCGACCATGTCTGCTCTCTGCGTATTCAGATGCTGCTGCACCAGCAGTTGCAAGTTGTAGAACCATCGACTCGACATCGTCGATGGCAGGAGGAACAGCAGCGATCATTTCAGCCTGAAACGGCGGAGATACTCGAAGAACGCTCCTCTTGGACCGGTAACATCGGAAATCGGCTGCCATTCGCCGTCCTAGAAGCTTCACCAGAGCAAAGAAAACGAATCGCAGACTCCGAGGCTCTTGGACCTGCATGGATACGCATCCCGGCCAGAGTACGTTATTTACCCCTATACAAATGAGTATTATTAGGAATACAGAGTTTTCCATTAACCTATCCTCGTTGATTTCTCCTCCCAGTCGACCTGTTCCTGCGAGTCGCAATACGAAATAAGGGACCTTGGAGACGGACACTATCCGAGATATCTGACCGCTGCGCACTGTAAACCGAAAACTTGTCAGAGCAAGTTTCACTCGTGCAGACTCCTTTATTACATGGTAAATGTAATGCTGCTGTTCTCGGTTATCCGTGACGAAATGCTACCGTTTCTACACTAATTCGATTGTTTTATCCCGCAGGTGCACGTGCTGAGGCCACGCGAGGCAACCACCCTGTCCAAGGACTGGTACATGAACGACAGCACGCTACTGGAAACACCGTTACCGGAATCCCTTCGAAGCAAGTGGCAGCTAAAGCCGATTTCTGTCGCCGTTGCCTGTGTACCAACCTCGGAAAACAGACGAAATTGACCGGCCGTTTTTCTCGCGATACCAACATTATCGTTTCGTCTCCTCTTTCTTCTCTCATCCCCTGTCACTTTCGTTTTCTCCAATCAGCTTTCGGTCGCAATTCAACTTCACCGACCTCTCCCCGCCCTTTTTCCTACAACCACGCGCATCCGATCATCTTCGCCAGAGAGAGTCGTTTACTAGAGTGGCATCGTAAAACGTCCGCTACACCAAAACTTCAATTCGAATCGCGTCTAATTAACTATCCACCAACCAGAACACCCTTGCGAGTTTCGCTTTAATTATTTTCTATCGCTCTCGAATAACCAACTTGGACTACAGGAATTACTCGTCTTCTTTCCACACCTGCAACAAACGCGATAAACGTAAAGAGAAAATTTTTCCTCTTAGCCCTTTTCCATCAGAACAGCGATAGCTGCAAATGAAGATACGACAGGAAGATAGGGTTAATATAGCCACTCCAGCCAATGTTTACAATGCAGTCCAGATTATACCTTTGCTTGACTTTCAGTCGTTCGACTCGTTCGACGTGCGATACGGCGATTGACAGCTACTCAACAACACCTACGAATTGCGCCCTTATCACCCTCCCTCTTCTCTCAGGAAAGCCTCGACACATTCGAATAGCTCCTCAGTCTGTTCATCTTGGAACTACGACATCTGTGAGACCAGAACAGTCTAAGTGAGAAGAGGTTGCGGTCAATGGGAACAAATAAACCAGAGTCCCTCCCTTGAGAGTAACATCGTCGTCGTCGTCATCTTACGACCACTTCATTTTGTCGCCCAGACTTTAACAGAATATGCTATGCGAATTGGCGATCGGCGATCGATCGATTCGCTTCGTAACCTCAACGTTCCACCGATGAATAGCTGGTGTTGTGTGAACGCGACAATCGAAAACCATCACCGATGTTATTTAGAGGTCGTACCTCGGAAAAGGGAGTACTCGTTGTCACGCACACGATAAAATAGCCTCGCAAACCATGCCACTTATGGGACTCGAGTAATTAATTGAATTACCTGGAACGCTCGATGATGCTAATGGTTGGTCAAGTCAGACGTTAGATTGGTCGCTCAGTTTACACGAGTGTATGTACGTACCTCCTCAACCAAACCACTTCGTGTCGCGAAATATCGATGTATCCTATCTAGATAAGAATCAAATAAACTCGTTCACTAAACGCATTTTTCTTTCCCCTTTTACTCTCCACGCTCATTCTTCTTTTGTTCTACGCATTGATTTTTGCGCCGATATTCTCTCCGTTGTTTCATCGCGTCCGTATCAAACTTTTCTTCACTTTGCCTTCCTCTCTCGTTTCTAGTCACGATTCTAGGAAATGACCTCTGTAACGGATGCAATCCTAAATGTTGCTCGCAAAGTCGTAAGATGGCGATCCTGTCGCGTCCAGACGTCACGGCGGACCTATCGATTGATATGCCAGAACCACCGCAGCGTCATCTTCGTGAAAATGAAAACCGAGGTTATTCTTTTACTGTTTGGGTGCTGTTTTGTTGCGACAAACGTCGCAAACGATGACTTCCACGGTGATAATTACATCGAAGGTAATTATACGAAAATTATACGTGATTACTGAAAGAGCCGCGATAGGTTGTTGGTGTGTCGCTTCGATCATTGCTTCACAATTGTTGACGCGTCTCGTTCGTCTAACCTTTAAAATACGCGTACCCCAATCTCCCCTTCCCTTTCCTTTTTAAGCTATTCGGCAAAAATAGCGAAGAAGAAGGCGTAATTTCTGATAGAAAATGTTACAGAGGACTTGCAGAACGTTGACTTTGACAGGCTACGCTTGCTTCGAAAATACGCGTACGACACTCAAAACGGTGAGAATCGCCGAAACGTGAACGACGATGAGCTGGAGAATTGGAAAGGACGATGGATGCCAGACAGACCGAATGATCCTATTCCACCACCCAAGATATTTCCAAAGAAGGAACAAACGTCTGATTTTCAAGCCTCGCAATCTATGCACGGTGTACCGATGGGATATATCTCGGTACATTGTGACGATGCTAAGGTACGTATCATTTTTGATCGTCAACCGACTATTCTCGTGGACGTTCACATTTTTTTATTATCTCCGTGTCGTGTTTCTCCTTTTAGACAAACTTAACCGTGGATTGGGATGGCAATCCAAGCAGTTACACTTGCTACGACAAGAGAATTGTTCCTGACAGAAATACCGTAGCGAACATGTATTGTGAACGTATACCAAAGTATTATGTTGTAAGTATTCGTGCGTCATTTGATCGCTGTGCGCATCAATAGATAACGATTCAAACGTTCACAGGCCATGCATAAATGCATGTACGAGGAAATACAGTATGACGACGACATCCCAGTGTTGTAAGTAATCCACTTGTGTCATGTGGTTTCATTTACGAAAAAAACAACCAGATGTAATGGAACGTAATATGTTAATGGTCAGTTATTTTCAGCGGTTCACATAGACCTCTGTGGCCAGTCTATGGTGAATATAAGTTTTTGCCAAAGCAGAGATGGCTCCATAGTCTCGAGGTAAATGAAACAACAATTTACCAACGATTACTACGTCCTCCGTAAATTTTCAATCATTATCCCGAGACCCGTTCTCTTCGTCACTTAGCATGGAGCAATCGTCATGTTGTATCATCCGTGTGCCAATCCATTGGAAGTGAGACGCATGAAAAATTTACTCACCGGATGTCTACGCCGACACGTGATCACTCCTTACGACCTATTGGACGAACACCGCGTAAGTAGGATTAACTTTCCGTTGCGTCTCTACCTATGATTAATCGATCGATCAATTTTCTATCATTACTAAATACGAATGATCGGTATATTACAGCCGTTGGCCTTGGTTTCTTGGGGATGTCGATTGACCATGTCTTACGTGAATCCGGAATTGGTAATTGGATTCGTTCGCGAACATGCTCTTCGGGGACCAGAGGAGATTGCAAGGGATGGCGCTTTCGTCGAAGGTCTGTTGCGCCAAGCAAAGACCGTGTCGGATCTCGAGGACACGATCTTATGCCCCAGTGCACGAGCAATTTAACGTCGCCAAACTTTTATTCTGTGAATTTTTCTCCCGCCATTCGACTATACGTACGTGTACATACCGAAGATCAATCTCCTTTTACCATTTATTTATTCGCAGTATTTCGTTTCCCCTTTCCTTTTCACAGCTTCTTTGTTTATCTTTCCTGGTTTACAATCCCAACTCTCCTTCCATTCTCTTGCTTGATCGTTCGTTTTACGACGGCTATCACATACGATAGAAAGAGAAATAAAAAGGAAGAAAAAAGAGAAAAGGTCGAAACGCAGGATTGGTTGTTTTTTTTTTTTAGTAAATAAACCCTTTGTTCCTTTATCGGGCAGAAAGGAGAGGCGAATGAATGGGACGCGGAACATTCACTCCCGTTACATATTATTGTATATTGTTCATCTTTCGAGAGAGAAGATCGTTAAATACATTGAACATCGTGTCGGTTTTTTAAAATCTCTGCGGACCTTTGTTTATCTACAGACGTATAGTAGTAACTTCACTGTAGTGCTGTCTATAATCGTTATTCCTGCGGATACGTATCTTCGATGATATATAAAATTAGGGTAAGACAAGTAACGCTACCATATTTTCGGTAATGTAAAATATACTACTCCTCTACTCAATAGTAAGTCGTTAACGTAAAAGAATAGAATTGTACAGTAAACGCTTGGCTTTCTTTTCTCTTTTTTTTCTTTTGTTTCATTGTCGCTATAATTAGATCAGTGAATCGAAGATTAACTCGCATAACACGAGGGGAGAAATCAGCAAATCAAAAGGTCGAAAAGACGTTTGGAAAGAACGTCGATTCGCCATTTCGGCTCTCTCGTTCGGTCGACTGAACTGCGTCCGTGGGACGCGATCCGACTCTCGTCGTTCCTCGCCTAACACCCCATTATCATCGGGGTCCCTCCATTACCACCCGAAAAAGAAAACTAACCAGCCTCTGTTTTTCCCGAAACACCAGCTAGAATGATTTTTGTGCTTGTAGGATTACGTACGGTGTGAATGGACACGTTCGCGTAATCATTCGTTAATATAGAGATTCTCTGTATGCGCTTCTAACTAGCGGGGACAGCCAGTAACAATCCCGATTTGTCTTCTCACCTCGTTGGATGATCGGTGTGTCTATAGGACGACGACGAGCGCGGACCTCGCCTCAAACGCGATCCCTTTTCGTCGAATAACAGCTCTATTAAATGCAATAACGACAGTGAATCTCTTAAGATTATTGCCAACTTTGTACAGAATCGATAATAATAATGATAATACAACAATAATATCGCATTAAAGACGAAAACGAAATAATCATCTATCGTATTTTCTGTTTTCTCATTCGAGAGAGAGAGAGAAGTGAATGCATCCGTGCGCTCGCTCGACGCAAATACGACTCATAGGCGGAAAAAACACCGTTGATTTATTTTTTAATAAGTAATTCTTAATACAGGTTTCCTCTTTTTTACTTTTTCTTTTTCCATTTTTTTTGCCTTTTCTTCATTCTTGCATAGTTCTCATCTAGTAGTAGAAGTGTCTACGATAAAAAGTATTTTTCCATACCATTGTTCAACGTGTTAAATTCTTTTAATTTGTATATCTCTCTCGTGCTCGGTTCCTCTCAATCATCACGTCTCTCGCGTTTATTCTCCTCTTCCTCTTCTAAGCCTTTCTTTCTTTCATTACGTTCAATTCTTCCTTCCTTCCTTTACTCTCTTCCTCTCGTTCGTTCCTTCGTTCGCTCGTTTCTTTCGCACTGTCTACTCCTTTCTCTCCCACTCTCTCATTCCCTAATTAATTTTTCAGTAATGTAAATTTATTATAATAATCTCACTTTGTCGCATGGTGGTCAAGAGACGCGACCACGCGACCTTTCTTATCGTTACGATTTAACACCGACTCCCGTTCTCGATCGTTCTTTATTTTTTGTTCGCTTGTTCTTTTGTTTTTTCTCAAAACATTCGCAAACTTACGATTTACGCTCGAAAGTGGAATTGACACTCATAAGGTTATTGAAATAGTCTCTCGAAGAGTAATAATTGCACCGATGCGACACGACCAATGTACATTTCTCGATACTTTGTCGTGTTTTCGAGGTCTCTAAAGCGTTCCCTCTGCTTCGTCACGATTCCCGTTTTTCTGTTGTTTTTTTTTTTTCTTTTTTTACTTGGCCCACTACTAAATAGCGGACTTAGCCTATCTGTCGGTTCTGTCTTTCATCCGACAATTTTCCCTTTTGAAATACTATTCGCGTTGCTCGTTCATCGATACACAGTTGCTATCCTCCTTTCGTGAACGATAGCGACGATTCGCGCGACAATGAATCGGAAAATAATGGCAGGAAGAAAGAGAGTGGGAGGTGGGAGATGGGGGGAGAAAGACAGACAGACAGACGGACAGATATAAGTCAGATGATCAAACAGTAACGTCGCATGGAATAAGATCGGAGATTCGTTCGACGATCTCTCCTCATTTTTAACAAAAGGAAATCAACGAAGCCACAGGTAATAGTATATATAATATTTGAACGAGAAAGCCTCTCTTAGAGTCCTTAGGCCAGAGTGTGTACTACATATGCTGCTCGTACACCACCGACAATGTCGATCGTGCGTGTACCAGTTTACAAATTCTATTCGACGACGACGTGGCCCGAAGAAACTTATTCGATGGTACGAAAAAGTAACGTTTGATTCTTCAATTCCTATTGCGGGAATCGCTACACACGAGCGCGCACGCATCAGAGAATAACGCTAACAACAACGTACAAGATATTTTTCTTCGTTTAAAGCTAGCCGAATAAAAGGCTCGGATATAGAAAAAGTGATGCGTACAGGGGGCAGTTCGCGATGATGATGAAGAAGGATGATGATGATGATTATGATGATTATGATGATGATGATGATGATGATGATGATGATGATGATCTCTCGTCTCGGTGCGATACGCGGCTGAACGATATCATCATTCTAAGGCCGATTGCGCGTTCGTGATTTTCATACTTTTTTCTGGATCGACGCGCACCCCTAACATTTCTTACGTATGCATATACAGAGATGAAAACGTAAAAGCGTTGAACCAACACCGAGAGAGAACCGAACAACAACGCTTGGTGCACGCGATTCGATTCCTATCGTTTGCGAAACGCGAACAGACCTTCGGAGGAGGGCGTCTATCAATCAGAACCAAGCCTTCCTCGAATTCTCTACGCCAAATGGAAGCGTTCTTGTTCTCTGATCGAGAGACGTTTTTTCGTTGAACTTCGTTCTTCTTCTCCCCCTCCCCCTCTTCTTCTTCATCATCTTCCGACGACGACGACGACGACGACGACAAGAAGAAGATACGACCCGGTTCAATTCAAAGACACCACCACGGGAATACCCCAAACACGGCCATCATTTACGCGGCTTGTGACAGAGGGATTCATCCTTCTTCTTCCTCTTCTTAACTTCTGCTTAATCGTATTCAACAATTAAATAATAGATCGTGGCAACGCAGCTACCTAATAATCTAACAATCAGTATGCTTCTGTACAATGCAAAGTGATTTCAAGTATCATTAATTATCGTTATCATTATCATCGTATCGTTCACCTCCTAACGCATTTGCCACGCTTCCATATCGTTATCATATCATCGTATTACCATCGCGTTTATCGCACTATGTTAATATTGTTATTACAGCAACGTACGTAACGTGGCCTGTGTGTAGCGTAGCTGTGTTTTACTCTTATTTCTTCATATTCTGTTTTTCTTATATCATTCTGAAACATTAACCCATAATCTTTTAACTGTATGTACCTCAACGTTCATATAATATAATCAACAAAACATTAACACGAACGTCGCCCGTTCCTTGCTCGAAAAGCGAATTATCAGACGATAGTTTACGAGCAATAGGCGTCGTGAATAATAAATTATTATCGTTAATATATTACTCTTTTCGACTGTGCCGACTAACTATTCATATATACATGTAATATGTTCGTGTGAACGCGTGTCTGTTGTGTGTGCGTGCGTGTACGTATCATGTATGTGTCCAAGTACATATGACTCGTGTATGTATGTATTTACGCAAGTATATGGGTATGTACTTGTATGTTTCGCGCGTACACGCTCATATATATCGTATTATACGTGTACGTGTATATATACGTACGTGTCTCTCTGCGTGCGTGCATATACATACATACATACATACATACATACATACATACATACATACATACATACATACATACATACATACATACATACATACATACATACATACATACATACATACATACATACATACATACATACATACATATATACATACACCATACACACACGCACGCGAACACACGCACACCCACTTATATACGTATATATACACATGTAGCATTAAACATGTATACACTTTGTGTAAATACGATGCATCGGTATGATGCAGATTTTATCGTCGACGATTGTATTAGCGTTAATTATTTCTTTGTTTCTTCCCCCGTAACACCTACATTATATTATTGCTGCAGCTTTATAGACCTCCTCTTCTCTCCTTGTCACGTATTCTTCGTCGTTGTGTCCATATTTCCTCCTCCTTCCAGCATGTTGTTCTCTCCGCCGAGACCAATTGCTTCGATTACGACGCAAGTTTCTCGCAAAAAGCCCTTCCCGACTTTGCACCGACCGTCGCGACCGAACGAACGAAAACGAAAGACGCGCGTGTGTCCTTGTCGTCGTCGTGGTCACAGTCATCGTTATTGCGTTGCGAATTGGTCGTTCGACCGATCATTTCGAAGCACGGATAAACGTGCCCAGTAACCATGAACTGAACTGAAAAACAGATCATGCGCTCGTGTGTGTGTATGTTTCATCGTTTGCACGTATAACAGGAAGAAATGTCGCGACAAACTCGACAAAGATCAACGAGAGTAAGCGCGTTCGAATTCGAAAGGAAACGTGTGTTTGTTCACGAAGGGAAGCGAAACGGTTACATATGTACGTCGACCCAATACCCTAATGGCGTTTCGTGCAACACGAACTCGAAGACGTTCCATCCGTCTTTTTATGGCGCTTGATCCAGTTGCATTCACAAATCGCGATGACGATGGCACGCAGCGTCGAAAGCGAGAAACAAACTACTTAAATGTATACCGCGTATTCCGTCCCACGAAAGCTATCCTAACATTATGACATACTTGGAAATTCGTTCTTTGCACTCTCACGATCGTCACCGATTCGCACCGGTTCAGTGGTCTTTTTTCCGCTTTCTCCGCAATCGTTACGCACATAGCCAAACAATTGTACTATTCTTACCGTTACCGTTACTATATTTTCGGAGCCGATTCCCGCTTTTGCGCGTACTTGTTACAATCATTAAATATCTGACGCGATGATGTTTCGACCTCCTCTTTCTCCTCCTTCTCTGCCTCAGCCACTGATCGTTCATGGCGTTCGATTCTCGATTTAAAGTAATAAACGGCGCAAAAAGAGAAACAGAGAGAGAAGGAGAAAAAATGAAACGAGAAACATGGATAGGGATACACCCGGTAAAGAAAGCTATACGCCTTGTTCGAAGAGTCGTGATATGTAGCGAGTGATACTGTGCGTGGTGCACATCTCGAATCTATTGTAGCTAGAATCGAACGCGTTCGAAATAGATCCGAGAGATCGGTAAAGAACTAATTTCCAAGCTCGGTTAAAAATCACAGTCAAAAGAATGCACTTCGGTAGGTAGTCGGTGTTGTGGCGTGGTATTCTCGACACGGCTACCAGAGCCGACGTGCAACGCCGAAAAGCCAGCGTGGAAAAAACGAGAGGATTTTGCTCGGTAACTTCGCGGCGTCTCGCGTTACAGAAAAACTCCATTGGGCATATAGGCTTGGCTCGGAACGAGACGCGACGAAAAACGAGGTGTTCGCGGCCACCAGCCAACACCCTTGTTTCTTTTCTCTCTTCGTTCGTAGGCCGAACAGCAATTTCGCGGGCATCGTGACAACCTCGTCCACGTTTCAACGCGAATTTTCCCGCTTCGGTACGTCGATGAACCACGAGAGGTCGCTTCACGTTGTCCATGTTCGCGTCTATGTCGCTTTCATCTCGGTATTTTATCCATTTACGAAGAATGAATGATGGCCGTACACGTTTCCACGAGTTCACTAGGGGCAGGATAATACTTTGCAGAAACCGAGCGTATCAGGAAAAAGATTGTTTCAGCTGGCGCAATCTCTACGCTTTTCAATGAACGAGTCGAGACTAGCGGTGAAACTATCCGCGCACCGAGTTTACTCAGATACGCGCGATAAAGGGGACCAAACACTAACCGGAGCTGAGCGAAATTAAAGAAAAGAGAAGCAAAGACTAGATGAACGGTGATGAAGCTACGGCAACAAACGACGATCGCTACGGCAAACAACGACGACGGCGCGGCAATTCTTCGTACAGCGAGAGTAGTCTGCGATCGTTATCAATCTTGTTCTCCTCTCTTCTCCCCTCTTTTGTTGTTTCTCGTGTGGATAGTCGGTAGGCGGGTAACTCGTGTACGCGCAAGCGTGACAGAAGAAGGAATTCAGTGGTGATCCGTAGGACGAGCAGCAGGCACGCGTGGATGCGCGCAGGCCTGTCGAGGTCGCCGCAAGCGAGATCGTGATCAAGATCGCGTATTGTTGTTGCTGGTGGTGGTGATAGTGGTGTGGTTGTGGCTACGGTCACGGTCGTGGCTGCTCGACAGCGGCGATCCGTTGACTTCGAAAATGCGAGCTGTTCAATAACAACGTTTCGTTTTCGGGCCGATTTGTCTGGATGTTGGCGTTGTCGACGTTTTGCATTCACATACGCAACGGCGACGACGACGACGGCGATGTCTTCGGACCCTTCTGCAAATAAAAAAGCACGACACAGAATCAGTGGAACGAAGACTAGGGTCCGATTGCAATCGGAAAGATTTCAAGAGATACCTGATTGAAGCGTTCACAGTCCGAAGTATCCACCGATGGTGGTGGCCAGAACGACGGCGAGTATGGCGAGGCAGATCATGATCATGATTTTCTTCTGCATACGGCATCAACGGATCGACAAAAACATGATGATCAATTACAACGCGGTACACAACGCAGCGACCTCCCCTACTGTACATAACTACGATCTTCTGATTGGTGGTATCATGCTACACACCACGTTGCGTCACATCTCCTCTCTTTTCTCGTCGTTACACACTCGTTTATCAATCACACCAGACACACACGCATTCACAGACACACACACATGCGATATTCGGTCTGTTTTCGCGAATCACAGCTCTCTCGTGCCTCTCTGCGTGTGCCACTCGCCTCTACCAGTTCGCGATTCGATCAACTCTGTCCTTCCCGTTGATTCGCCGATACACGCTCCCGACCATACAATGAACCACAATTCCTTATACCTACTGTTTGTATGCATTATAAGTACGATCGTTGTCGCTCCGTTGTTCCCCACGCACGCGTCTCGATCGTTTCGAGACAAGGTACATTGTAGTTGGAAGCCGAGAAAAGGTGAAGCCGGTCACGGAATAAACGGACAAGCCAGTGAAACGTTGACGAAGCGCGTAAATACACCCGTGTCAAATAGAATGCGAGTATTTTGAACAAGCATTCGCGCGATCCTCTATCTCGCCTGCCATCCCTATTGGAATGAGAACCGTGTGTGCGTGTATCTTTCGCATTTCGTCTCGTAGCGACCTGCACTTTCCTGTCCAGAATAATTATGAGAATGATGACAGCTAGTGTTAGGCAAATTACGATGAACATCAATTTCTGCGAACAAAACATAAGATTGCCGTCACTCGGTGAACGCCATGCCGTTCTTCGCGCATCCAACAACTCGGAATCGTGACGGAAAGCTCTTTCGTCCGAGCTCTGTTCGTGCTCCGGGGCGACGAACCCCAATGCAAGTACACTATCGTCACAGAGGATACAACGAACTCGAAACGATAAGGAAAAATCGAGGTTCGCGTATCGCGGACTCGTCTCTTCCCCTCCTCTCGAGCCCTTCTTCTTCAGAACGTTCTCCGTGACATGCGAGGAAATCGAACGAATCGAACGAATCGAACGATGGAGAGAGTAAAAGCAAGGGTTTAGGTTGAAGGATCAAGTGAGCTTGGAGATGAGGACGAGTCGACGATTGGCGTCTATATGAGTGTTTCGCGCATTAGTGAAACGAGCGGTTGCGGTTAATGAGTTATTGCGTTAACAACCAAGTTGCTAGGTTTAGAAGATTAGAACCGGGTAAATGTGTATGGAGTACAAGGAAAATGGCAGAAAGCTGGTTCCAGGTTTATCAGAAAGCCAATGTTCCGGAACCGACTATTCCGTCGGACGCGTATTCGTCGTCGTTGTCCCTCGTACCGTTCCGACTACCCTCCTCTAGTCGTTGGCTCGTTGCCTCGCGCGTTTCACGATCTACCCTCTCTTTCGTTCTTCTTTCCACCCATTCCGCCCCGAAAATTGTTTCCGTTGTACCGTTGATCGAGCGTCCCGCACCCGCGTTCATTCCACACCCCGCACTCGCATCGCGTCATGTGCTGCCCAATCCCATTCGTAGCACGCGTTTCTCGAATCATTTAGCTTCTCGGAAGGCATCCTATTATTATGGAGATTAATATCACGGCCAATAATAACACGCAGATTATGATGAAGATCATTTTCTGTGGACAGAAAAAAAGAAATACGACTCGTATGAGAGGCCGGCTAACAAAAGTACCGTCCATCGAATCGACGACGAACGGATCCGACCAACTGCGAACAAGGTGCAGAAATCACCAGAGAGAGAGAGAGAGAGGGGGGGGGGCACGTTGCGTCGACTTTTGCACACTTAAGAACAACAACAAGTAGGAGGAGATGAAGATAATGATACTGATCATGTAAGATAAAAAGGAAGTATTAGGTTGTAACATATGAAATGTCCGATTTTGGTAGACCAACTTTTCAAACCTTTTTTTTTTCCGGTAAATATTTTTAGCTTTGTACATGTATTATACATCATTTTAAAGTTTAGAATCTCCTCCTTCTTTTATGATTTAAATTTTTTAACATTTTCATATTTGAATGCATGTTTTTTTAGGTTTCTGTGAATCATGAATCAGCGCAATTTTCGGATCCTTTTTTTTTATGCGATTGGAAAAGTGACCATAATACAGCAGCTGCCCCAAATATTATAGGAGAGGGTACGAATATGAGATAGGGTAGAAGTATGAGACATCAAGGTTTTGATCTGTACACAGTACTGACATTTTTGACAATGATTGGAAATTAAATATTATGAAGACTGAAACACCGTTTCATAACAGCCATTATCGTTTATTATTGTTTTTTGTTTTTACCGCAACGGAAAGTTTCTGCATGTGCACATTGAAGTAGAATTTACTTTGGTTTATTTTGTGATTTTCAATAAAACAAAGGAGATAAATTATTCTATAATAACCGTAGTTGAAGAATACGAATGAAGATTTAAAGTGTATTGTGTTTTTGATTGTGGTATAATGAAAGTAAAATGGCGAATTGGTAGCAATATGAGACTGTCTGACACTATTACCACATTTTAAAATTTATTACTAAATAATAAAATGAATCTCATTACTCCTTCAGATACCAAGTACAAAGTTATATAAAGAAAAGAAAGGCCTAAGAAAAAATTATTTCGAAAAAGATATGACAGAAACTATCAGAACTGTTAAACTGAAAAAATTTGGCCAGAGAGCGAAATTTACATTGTAAAACTAAATAAATTGTGATCGTGTTGTTATATTTGACACTTACTTATGTCATTAAAACTTTAACACAGTTTCATAACTGATTTCTCTTAAAAGTTACACTGTCTCATATTACTACCCGAATTTCTGCTTATCCGATTTTGCCTTAATTTAGAAAAAGTAAAAGAATCAAAAGTTTCTATAGGTTAACAATATTTATGCTTATACAACACATTTCACATGAAATTTCCGAAAGTTATTCGTTTGATTTTTCCATTTACAGCTCTTCTCAGACTCCTTAGGTTAAAAAATAAAATGGGTATCCCATATTCGTAACCTCTCCCTATAAGGGGGTATTTTAGTGTGATGATTTCAGAAAATCGATGTTGGATCCCGAGAAAAATTTTGAGGGGGACCCACGGGAATCGAAACACACGACCTCAGGCTGGCACAAGCTGAGCCTTTGTACACTACGCCAAAAACTCCCTCTGTAGTTTCCCTTGTCGGTTCCCTATTTGGGTATGGAGGCCCCGATACTACATCGATTTTTTTTTTTTACATATATCGAAAGTACAACCCTTTAAAAATGTGCTCCTAAAATTTTATAGTTGTATTCGACAAAATAACAAAGTTATAGCTGACCTAGTGTGACGTATCAAAGGCAGGCGATAGGGAGAATGGAGTTTTGCAGCAGTAAACCGCGTGGTAATCTGAACATATATGTGGAAATTACTTGGACTTGTGACCGAAGTTCGGAAAAGTGTATTTTAAATAATAATAATAATAGTTTATTAACACAAGTAAAGAAATAAAATAAAAACTAAATATCTACGTTAATTATATATCATTCTCTCCTTTTTTTAGCAGTAATTATATTTAATAATGGATTTTTGCCTATTCTTAAACTATAATCAGTAATGGGGGTAACAATTGGTGAAGAAACTGAAATGTACAATAATGTGAACAGCTGTAACAAAACTCGCATCAATCGCACAGAACAACGCATAAGTTCTTCCGTGACTTCGCTAAAAAAGCCAGAACTGATCGGAAAGAAGAAAGAACAGCTCAACAACATTTGTTTCAAGAAGAGGAAAGTCCTCCACTATGGTCCTGGACCTATGTAAATTGCACTTAAAACTTTAAACAGGTTTTTCTCGAAATCATGTTTTCTGAAATGGTTACCACGATATGGCAAAAACTACTGTACCAATCGAACTCAAATTTTGCACATGTATGGCTATGGTCGGTAGTAGAATTATACCAAAATACTTTTTTTTCTAATTTTCACAGCTTCTGAAAGATGAAAAAGAGTCGAAAAAAATCGAAACTTCATAGTCAAACTGCCGATATTTTTCAATTTTCATTATTTTTACTTTATTTTACTACCAACCATAGCCAGAGGCGTACTAAATAAGAATCTATTGGATTTTTATATTTTAGATAAGCAGAACGGCTCAAATCATCGCAACCACCAATGTACTTTCTTTTTCACGCCCGTGTTTGACGTGTTCCACAGCAGCCAAATTTAATTACTTTTCAACAAAAAAATTTGTAATCATTCTTCAAAGACAAGTAAATACATAGGAGTAAAGCTCATGTTAATAACTGTTACTGAACTTCTACAATAAATTAGCAAAGAAGGCCTAAAAAAAAACGGCTGTCACACTAGAATACCCCCTTAACGTTGCATACGGCGAAAACAGTGTTAAAGGGTTAGCCCACCCTGACCGCCCGAAAATCATAGGTATCTTGTAATGTACCTTGTGTATCTATAATGTGTATATTGTCTATAATGTATCTTGTGGTGATTTTTTCTGTAAATATAATGAAATAAACGGGAAATCAGTTAGAAAACCTGTAATATACAGTTACGCTCATTAATATCCTGCCACTCTTTAGAACAGTAAAAAAAAAAAAAAAAGAAAATAAATTGGCCCAGCGACTTGAGTTTTTTGAGAGGTTAGAAGGATTAATTTAGTAGATGATGTGTATCACAAATTTTGAAAAAATTGTAACTTGTGGGAATCGCGGAGAAAATTGTAAAAACTTCACAACTTTTTTATCTGAGCTTGTTGTGAAAATTTAAAATATACGTTTTGTAGATTTATGTCAATTATACAGTATGTCCGGTGTATCTCCGGTGTATATTTCAGACGAAAGTTATAGGGTATAAAGGGCGACATATTGTTCTGGCATATTTTAACTTTGCAATGACCCTGAAAAATCCTGTAAAGGTCATGTTTATGTTTTTAAATGGAAACATATTTTTGATTACCGTATTTTTCGGACCATAAGACGCACCTTTTTACATAGAAAAATCGACTTAAAATTGGAGTGCGTCTTATGGTCCGCAGGTAACATTAAAATACGAATCTTTATACTGTATCGAAGCTATTAGAGAAGTTCAATTACTGGCGCAATATGTTAATAAAATTAGTACAGCACGCCAGTGAAGGTAGGTATGTAGGGTAATTCCAAACTGAGAACAGCATGTACGTCATCATGCGCAGAAAACACATTTTGATACCCAAGTCATCTCGATGCATGTGGGGAAATCACCGATTTACACTCTTTGTCTATGAGCGTCAATAGCTATTAGTCTGTAAACATATGCGCTTCTATACGGTTCAAACAACTAATGTGTAATAAGTCCGAATTATTTTTATAAATCGTTAAATTTTTACCCTAAAATTAGAAAAAATGAGTATAAAACGAAAAAGACTTTCATATAACGTGAGTTATAAATTAAATGTGATAAATTATGCAAAACAATATGGAAACAGAGCAGCAGAAAGACATTTTGGTCCACCACCGACAGAAAAAATGGTTCGTGAGTGGAGAAAACAAGAGGAACAATTAAAACTGCTATTTAAACACAAGAAAACATTTCGTTCGCACTTAAAAAAATGGCCAGAATTAGAAGTACAAATGAAAAATTGGGTAACAAACCATCGAAACATGGGAATATCTGTTTCTACGAAAATGATAAATTTTGAAGCGAAAATATGGGCAACTGCTATTGGAATTTTAGATTTTACCGGATCACCGTCTTGGTGCTTTAGATTTATGAATAGACATGGGTTATGCATGCGTACAAAAACCACTCTAGCCCAAAAAATGCCGGATGACTATGAATCTAAAATTATAGAATTCCATAGATTTGTAATATCAGCGAGAAGGAAATTTAACTTTGAGCTTAATCAAATTGCGAATATGGGTGAAGTACCTCTAACTTTTGATGTTCCTTCAAATCGGACTGTAGATTCAAAAGGCACCAAATCAACAGTGATCAAAACAACGGGTCACGAAAAAATTCACTACACTGTAGTTTTAGCTTGTTGCGCGGACGGAAGAAAACTAATGCCCATGTTAATCTTCAAGAGAAAAACGTTACCGAAAGATAAACCTCCTAATGGCATTATTATCCACGTTCAAGATAAAGGCTGGATGGACGACACAGGAATGAAATTTTGGATACAAAAGATATGGGCAAAACGTCCGGGTGCATTGTTTAAAAAGCCTGCGATGTTAGTGTGGGATCAATTCAGAGTGCTTAGAAGAGAAAATCAACCAAGAAGCTTCTAAAAGAAATGAATACAGAAGTATCTGTCATTTCTGGAGGCCTCACAAGTCAATTACAACCCTTGGATGTATCTATCAATAAACCATTCAAAAATTTTATGCGGGAAGAGTGGAATAAATGGATGGCAAAGCCAAATCACAATGTTACAGCAACAGGACGTATGAAATGGCCAACAATGTTAGAGGTTTGTACCTGAATGAAAAATTCATGGGAAGCTGTGGAAGAAGAGACGATTATAAAGTCATTTAAAAAATGCGGGGTAAGTAATGCGATGGATGGTACCGAAGATGAAGCAGTTTTTGAAGGGAGTGACAACAATAGTTCAGACGAAAGTAATACGAACGGTGACATTAACGAGATGAGTGATAGTACCGAGAGTGGAGATGAACTGAATATTGCTAATACGACTTATTTTAACAATAAATAAATTAAGTAAGAATTTGAAAATATCTTTATATACCTAATAAAATATTCTTTTCTAAAATCGTCCCATAAATTTGGGGTGCGTCTTATGGTCCGAAAAATACGGTATATACTTGTGGTATTTGCGTAAATTATTATCGAGATATCAGCTTCTAAGTTTTACATGCCGCCAGCATTAGCGTTACTTGATGTACACCACGGGGACAAACAAATGTTTTTCATAATGCTACTACTAGTATGGCATTGCCGGAACATAAAG